CACTGCGTTCGTCTATGGGCTTCTTTTGTAAAAAATCTATATGCGGCAGCCCCCAGGGTATGATGATGGTAGCGGAAAGGCATGGAAGCTGAAACGTACCCTCAACGTCTTGAAGCAAAGCCCATGCGGAGGGTACAAGCGCGTCGACGACCTTCTTTTGCAACATGGCTTCGCGTGTAAAGATCGTGATATCGCTTGTACATGTTGAAGGAGGGTGAGAAGCAATTGGTGTTTTTTCTTTACGTCAATGGCCTTCTCCTCTTCTCGGATTCCAATTACCTCATTCGGGAGGTCAAGCAACAACCAGTGACCGAATTCGCAATGAGGGAATTGGGTCCAGTAACGTAATACCTTGGGATGCACGTGAACTGCGACCAGTCTGGGGGGAGGGGGGGGTGCATGCTGAAGAGTCGTGCCGACGAACCTTGAAGGCCAAGGGAATAGCCAAGGGAGATGCATCCAAGACGATTCAAGAATAGGCAGCCCATGTATGCAACGGAGGTGCAAAGACGATCAAGAGCATTGGCTCCATCGAATGTGGTGAATTCGTTATTGCGGAGCTGGAAATTTGGATGACGAGCAAGGGCATTCGACACAACGTCTCAACACCATCAAACCCCAACAAAAAGGAGCAGCCAAGCGGCTTAACCGCACTTTGATGGAATCCGTTCGCTCCCTACTTCAACACGCTAAGGTTGCGGAAGAGTGGTCGGGCGAGGCGAATGCGCCCGCAATCTGGATTCGCAATCGCCTACCAAGAAAGGTGCTGCCATGCAAGACACAATTCGAAATATGGACCGGAAAGAAGCCGAACCCATCCACCTTTGGCTGTACTTGCTACTACCACGAACCGGACCCCCTTCGTCACAAGCTGCAGGGAGGGGGGGCACTATAGGTAAGACCTCCGCTCCCGTCTCTAATGCTTCCACTCTTCGGGTATTACTCGCGCTAGCAGCAGCCTTCAACCTTCAGGTGGAGAAATTGGACGTGTGCATTGCGTTCGTCTATGGGCTTCTTTTGTAAAAAATCTATATGCGGCAGCCCCCAGGGTATGATGATGGTAGCGGAAAGGCATGGAAGCTGAAACGTACCCTCAACGTCTTGAAGCAAAGCCCATGCGGAGGGTACAAGCGCGTCGACGACCTTCTTTTGCAACATGGCTTCGCGTGTAAAGATCGTGATATCGCTTGTACATGTTGAAGGAGGGTGAGAAGCAATTGGTGTTTTTTCTTTACGTCAATGGCCTTCTCCTCTTCTCGGATTCCAATTACCTCATTCGGGAGGTCAAGCAACAACCAGGGACCGAATTCGCAATGAGGGAATTGGGTCCAGTAACGTAATACCTTGGGATGCACGTGAACTGCGACCAGTCCAACGGGACCATCCACCTCCATCAATAAAATATGTGACAGGGGTGGTGAAGCACTTCTGCATGGGCATCAGCAAACCAGTGGGAACACCACTAGCCATGGATTTATTTTTTCATCACGGGAGAGGAAGAATATGCCCTTGACGAAGCCAAAGGTAAGCGGTTTCATTTGCTAGGTGGCTCGCTCATGTATGCCATCGTTTCTACCCGTCCCGACCTTGCATACGCTGCCGGGGTGCTTGGACGTGCCATCACCAGCCCTCGCACCGAGCACGTTGTTGCGAGAGGTCGTATTCTTTGTTACTTCCAAGGCACACCCAACTTGGGGCTCATGTATGAAGCCAGCTCTATCGAACTCAAGGGCTATACTGACGCGGATTGAGCAGGAGATCCAAGCATGCACAAGAGTAATTCTGGATATGTCTTTATCATGCTTGGGACAGCCGTGAGTTGGCAAACCAAGACGCAGCCAACCGTAGCCCTAAGCTACACGGAGAGCATGTAGCCCTCACTCAAGGAGCCGTAGTGGCGATATGGCTGCAGCGCCTTCTAGCGAGCTTGGGCATGCTCAACCCAAATCAGGTAATCTCTTTGTTGACAATCAAGCCGCCATAAGCCTTGCTCACGATGATGACATTCACGGCCGAACCAAGCATATGAAGGTAAAGCATTGCTTTATTCGTGAAGTGGTTGAGAAAAGGTGAGGTCAGTCTCACCTGCAAAAGCACCAAAACACAACCTGCTGATTTTCTCACTAAACCACTCCCAAAGGACTCATTCCTTGCATGCTGTGAGCGTGTTGGATTGCACTTCTGGTGGGTTGGGTGTAAAGGGAGTGTTGGAGGGAAAAACCATGGTGGGCGGATTTGCCTCCAACCCACCTTTCGGTGCTTTGTTTTGAGTGAGCTGCATGTGTAGCTGACTTAGGTGGAAACCAATGTTAACGGAAGTTGGCCCCGCCCTCTCTTGGGCGAAGCCGACTTCGTGGTCGAGTGTGCGGGAGGTGCAGCCGACCGTCTGTAGTGGGCGACACTAGCCAGGGCGAGCAGGTCGACGAAGTTGGTCGACCTGCACTGGACCATTGCGACGCCGCCGACGACGGGAAGCCGGCGGCTGACTTCTACCGGTGTGGTCGACGAAGGGACTCGTCGACCTGGGGGGGGGGGAGAGAGACTTTAGGGCGCCGACCTGGTGACGCCGACTTCGTGAAGCCGGCGGGTGGCGTCGACCTGGGCGGTCGACGAGCACATATAACAGTTGGCGGGCTCCTACCGCCGAAGTCGACGCCGACTTGGCGGTTTGCCGGTCGACCAAGTTACCAGGGCGACGAGGTTTAGCGGGATGCGCGACCGTCGCCCAGGAGGTTTTGGCGAGGCCAACCTCGGGTTGGTATCCCGAGGTCGACGTAGCACTTCAGGCGCAACCGTCGGCACGTGGCCGACATGGGCACCTGCTCAATGTGCGTGACGGTGCACGTCGTGCCCAACGGTCTACAAGCACCTGCGAAGTAGGTGCGCGCGTGGTTGCAACGCTGGCAGGCCGCCTTGCTGCAGCGTTGGCACGCCGCCGTGGTGCAGCGCTGGCAGGCCGCCGGCTTGCTACGTTGGCAAGCTCTGCAGGGCTGGAGCGCCGTCGACTTGCAGTGCTGGCAGGACGCCAACTTGCTGCGCTGGCGGTCGACCTGCCTGTCTGCTAGGTTGCTTTGCTTCTAATGTAGTTAGTGTTGCCATTGCAATTCCTACCACTCGTACCTTCCGTGCATTCCCCATTGTCTAGCTCCCACCAGTGTAGAGTGACTCTCCGCAACCTACAGTTGTGTGCCACGTGGCGGCACCAAATTCTAACATTTGAGATGAAGGCGATCTCGATGGAATCGGTGAAATTCGGTTACCAAAATTTACCCCACCAAAATGTTACATATGGATTCGCGACGTATGTTAACATGTGCGGTTTGATGTAATTCAGTTGCTAAAACAAAAGTTTGCTTTGTATGCATGTCTCATACTGAAGCCACAGCGCCACAGCGCCTTCAGAGCAAGCACCACCGAAGCCATGTTAGTACTCAGTCTTAAAAGTCTACTCTACAAAATTCACAACGCCACATACTATGCCCAAATATCGGTTTTCCCCATCTTTGCGCACTAACCATTGCACGAGCAATGCCTACGGTAACTTGAAACAGTGTTTAGAAGGGTAAGCAGTGCTGAACCTTTGCTGAAAGATAGGTGAACAATGTCTCCCCTTCCCCATTGTCTCAACAGCCGCTAGCAGTTCGCATCCAAACCGTCCCGCACGTGCCAATTTGTGTTAGTACATCGAATTTACTTCGGTTTTGTTGGGTGTACAGTGGTGTCGAGATTGCATGAATTTGACAGTTGAATCAAGTCGACAGAAAAATCGTGGCGTTATAGCAGAACAGACTATAGCGTAACTCGAATCAGATAAGCTGTTGATGACGCGTCAGAAAACTGCGTCACGTTTGAAGGTGCGCTGTCACATTCAGATGTGACAGCGGGGATGTGGTTTGGATCAGTGAGGCGAACAGAAACCCAGAAGGCAAAGGGTTTCCAGCTCGCCAATTTCGTTAAGTTCCTTCTGAACCCAAAGCAGCGATGCTTCGAATGTTGAACGATCTCGCACAGTTTCGTGATTTCGCCAATCTGCACGTGCCACACAACACCACACTTCTATTGTGCAAGATGCTCCTCTCCCCCTCCTTCAAACTCCACCCACAGCTCAGCACCTATTCATTTCACGTCTTGCAATCTCGTGCACCGTGTTGTTCACACTCTATTTCCCCAGTCCTCTGGCTGCTCCTATCTACCCGTTTCTGCCTCATATGCACGTTCTAAATACGTGTGTCTTTCTGTTCTTGCATCCTCCCTCATGCAGGCTATTGAAAGACTGTTGTGGCGGACGGTTTCTGCTTTGAAGTTTGACTCGCCGCATGAAGCTCGCGATTAGGCTACCTTGTCACTCCATACTCCCGCTTGTAGATTCATGATCAACTCAGGTGAGTATCGGATTCACGCAAATACGCAATGTCTTCTGCGCCCTTGTGAGTACATGTTTCTTCGCAGAATACCAGAGAGCGTGACAACGCTCTTTACCAGCGACAACCGAGAAACTCGCCACGCGTATAAGTATTCTATTTTTCAAGCTGATATTTTCCAGGAGTTTTATCGCCAACTTATCGCCGAGCAAATCACGGTTCTTCGAGACGTTCCCTAATATGCAGTTCCGAGCAGGTCAATGGCATCCGTGACCGGTATGTTCAGGAACGGCGTTTTTATGTCGCCCGTTTTATAGAGTGCTGGTACTGTGTCGACCTAATTCTGCTGCTTTTTTTGCAGAATCGTCGTCTCGCCCGAACTAAGCTGTTAGTCAATGCATGTTACATATCTGCTGTGTGGTGCATGATGTTTGCGGTTATATAAATAGGATGTAAATGGGTTATATCTGTGTAAATGGTAAGGCCGAACATAAGATATACGTATAGTAACAATCCTCAGCAAATAATACAATTCATGTGTCACGAAGCTGCCCACCCATTTTGCATTTTTTTATTATACGTAGTTTGTTGATCATGATAACCTAAGCGTAGTGTGATACTGGTGCTACTGGTATAGTTCTAGATGCCGGGAGGGATCAGCAGGGTGGTGGTCCCCTGAATCGTGAAGTCCGAGCCTACCCACAGGTTTGGCACGGCGAGCACGGTGGGCAGCGCGGCGGGGCCCTTGAAGGCGACGAACGGCTGGAAGTTGGGGCCGCGCTTGGTGACCTGCGTGCCCTCGAGAGTGTCGAGCAGCGTGCCGCCGGGAAGGTCCGTGAGGTTGCGGTAGAGGTAGCGCGTGGTGATGGTGTTGAAGGAGAGAATGGCCGTCTGCTGGTCCGAGTTGTAGTTTCGTAGCACGATGATGTTGGCGGGGATGAGGATGGTGATGTCTGTGAGCGGAATGAGCGATTTCACTGCGGCGGATGGGAGAAAAGGAGGGTTGTTAGCAGCGAGGTCATGAGAATACGATGGGATAAGTGTTATTTTGCGACTACTGCTGAAGATTGTTACAAAGAATTCGAATAGTGACGTAAGAACAGGTGATCTGCAGGTTTTAACCGAGAGAAGCCAGCAAGACACTCCACATACGATGCGCACATTTAAGATTCCGGGAAACAACTAGGGCGATCGCGGCTGACTAGTAAAGAAATGGTGGCGGGATTAGGCTTACAGTATTTGTCGATCAAGTCGTGAACGTTCTTGAATTGTGGCCGCTGCTTGATGCCGTCGCTCGCCTTCCGCACCTCAGTGGCGCGCAGCGCGTGGACGTGGGAGATGCTAGCTAGTAGTAGTAGCGTGGAGAGCGTGACTAGAACGAAGGCAGTTCTTGTGAACGATGCCATTTCTGGGACGAAGGTGATCTTTAAGAAGGCTATATACAAATGTCGTCTTGGTCGCGTTGATTCTGGTGCAGAATGCGCGAATCGGAGGGTGCTGGTTTACGCTACTACTGGTTGTGCTGAAGTTGAGTTCAACTCCCAAGTTGGGAGCGAATGAGAAAAGGAAGTCTTGAGTTTGCGGTGTATCAATGAGAACGAGATCTGTGTGCTGATGAGAAAGAATGTCACTGGGAGTTGCACAATTGTACAATTATTGCATCCCCTCCCCACGCGCCGCGCATTTTTGCTCCAACGTCGCCCTTGAGACCATTCGGCCGCGTCGCCCTGCAGGATGCTTCTTAGCGATTTCGAACTTCCTCGCAGCAACGTATGGTAACTAGGGAATTCCTGGACGGTCAGTTCGCGAGCGCGTTTCGCGTTCTGCCTCTCTGTAGGGCAGTCTGCATTACGGCAGTTCGTTTCTGGAGGCAGTTTTGTCGTTTGCGAGATTCTCAACGCTGAGCGGCGAAACTGTCGCCTAGACGCTGTTCGTGTCGGCTACAAGGTGGTGTTCCACCACGTGTTTGTAGGTGCCATTATAACGGTGAAATGGCCCAGCGTGTGCCTTGATTCTTTACAATAAAAAAATAGCATGCTACCTATAGATTATACCATATCAATTAAACTAGTATGGATATGCAAACCAGGCACAAATAGATTGGGAACAAATAAACTATACGTCCCTTTTAAAGCACCAATTGTATTTGATGTTTCACAAAGTAGCGTCGCAATCAGACCCATGTGCTCACAGCCTTACCCGCCCTCTTCCGACGATTTCCCTCCGTTTTATTCCTCCTCAACTCCCCTCCCATCCACTCCTCATCATCTTCTCCCCCAATCTCCACAGCACCCATTTCATGCCCAAACACCACCATGCCGCTGCCACCACGAACAAGCATACCCCCATCACCATCAAACCCTCTGCTCCCACCATCCCCATTCCTGCTACTATAAATCGCACCCTTTGTCACAGGAGCCCCCGCCGCATATTGTACTGGCATAACATCTCGATATGAGCTTGACGGTGGAAGAGGTGGGGGGTTGTGCGTGCTGAAGAGTCGTGCTGACGAGCCTCTGCTGCCACTGCCAAGAGAGCTTGCAGAAGGAGCAGCAGTAGCAGGCCGTATAATTACATGCTCGCTCATGCTCCGGTGCATCGGCCTTGGGTGAAGGCCGATAGCGGGCGAGGAATAGGTGCCACTGCCAGCCCAAGCGCTGTGCAGCCGGGAGGGATGGATTGCAGTAGTTTCAGCAGCAGCAGCAGCAGTGGCAGCAGCAGCGGCAGCCGCGGAAGCGGCAGCGGCAGCGGCAGCGGCAGTGGACGTGGAGCGGTAAATGCTGGTCTGGGCAGCATTTGCATGCCTGAGTGCACCCCACCGAGCGTCTGACTCGGACAGCCCTTGCGTACCCTCCGCAGCTACTCCAGCGACCACAGCAGCAGCAGCCACAATCCCCTCGTCCCCAAACGCACCAGCAGAGGCCGACGCTGCTGCTGCCGCCGCAGCAGCAGCAGCAGCAGGACCAGCTCCTGCCCATGAAACAGGTAGTGACGATAGCGATCTCCGTGCAGGGGCCACTCCTCCACTTCCTCCCAAAGCCACTCCTGCTGCTACTGCTGAGAAGTTCCTGCCGCTGCTGCTCCTCCCAGCAATGCTGCTGCTACTGCCGCTGCTGCTGACGCGGGGAAACGCTGCTGACTGCACGGCAGAAGCAGAAGAGGAGTGAGCGGTCAGGGGGTAGAACGGAGGAGGGGTGCTGTCAGGAGTGCTTCTGAACCGCGCTGAAGCAGTGCCTTCCGTGAATGAACCGAAACTGCTTTCCCTCCGCACGCCAGCATCATCCCACTCCCTCATTGCCCCCATGCTACTCTCCCTCCTCAGTGCAGCACTCTTCTCTCCTTCGAATCCTACACTACCATCCCTTCTCAATCCCACACTACCCTCCCTCGTCAACTCCACACTGTTTCCCCGCCTCATCCTAGCAGCAGCACCGCCACACTCCCTAGGCACCATCCGAGCGCCATCATCCTGTAAGAAGTCGAAGCTGCCCTCTCGCCACGAGCTGAAACTGCCACTCCCGTACGACCGAACACAGCCCTCCCTCCTCTCCCGCCGCTCACCTAACCCTTCTCCTGCTCCTCCCTCCTTTCCTGCGCCTGGCCCTGCTCCCCTGCCTCCTGCTGTAGCAGCAGTGCGGGTTTCCACAGCTTGAACCATGCTCAGCCTCCTGCCGCTGAATGAGCGAGCGCCATGCGACACTGATGCGCCACTGCTTGATGAGCCCCTTTGCAGTGACCGCCCGTGGGACGACCCCGCCCGAGATGGCATTGCTCCATCACCACCAGTAGCAGCAGCACCACCACCAGCAGCAGCAACACCACCACCAACAGCACCACCACCACTCCCCTCCAACCGGCCACGATTAGCAGGACCACCATTGCCTCTGCCACCACCGCCGCTACTGCCACCACCAACACCACCACCACCACCACCACCACCAGAACCAGCATTCCCACTGCCATTACCGATACTAAAATCAAATCCCTCACTTCCATTCCTGCTTCCCTCTCCCTCACGTTCCCACTGCTCCTCCTCGTCCTCGCTCTCCCCCTCCTCCCACTCCTCACCACCCCCCTCCTCATCCCCATCCTCCTCCTCATCCTCCTCCTGCTCTATCTCCCTCTTCCGCTCAACCAACCATTGATTGGCCCGGAAGCAGCTGCTGATTCCCATCCTGTCTTCGAGCGAGCGGAGGAAAAGAGGGGTGGCAGTGTGCCACTCGCCAGGCTCCTCCAGCCCCTCCTGAGCGCCAGAATATCGCTGGATTGAGGGCCGTTGAGCTGAGCCGGTAGGGATATCAGCAGCATCAGCACCATCACCAGCACCAGCAACAGCAACAGCACCGGAACCAGCAGCAGCAGCAGTAGCAGCAGCAGCAGCACTAGCACCGGCAGCAGCAGCAGCAGTGGTAGCTCTTGGCACAGCACCTGGAAGGAGGCAAGGCGAGATGGGTCCACCAGCTGCTTCATGCGTATTCTCATGCCTAAAGTGCCCCTGCTGCTTCTTCTGCTGGCGCTGCTGCTGCTTCTGCTGGCGCTGCTGCTGGTTCACATGCAGAGGCGAGTTGGCATTCTTGCTGCGGCTTTGCCGTGGTGAAGCAGACCGTGCGAGGTGCAGAGGCGAGCGGATGAGCGGCAGAGGGGAGTGGGAGCGAGGGGTGCGCGATACAGGAGCCGTGGCATGCCTCTGCACGGCAGCAGGGCTGCGGACCCTTTCAGGAGTCCGGGATGGGGTGGTTGCGAAGGGGGAGCGAGCAAGAGGGATGCACCGCGTGGGGAAGCGAGGAGACACGGGAGGAGAGAGCGAAACACCAGGGCCTAATGCCAGCCCGGGGGTTGAATCTCCTGCTGCTGCTGCTGCTGCTGCGTCCTCCATTTCTCCTCGGTTTCCTCCTCCGTTCCTCCATCGATCCGCACTCCCTTGCCCCTCTGCCTCACCACTCTCCTGCGTGTTGCTGCCTCTGGTGCCAAACCTGCTGCTGCTGCTGCTTCTGCTGCTGCTTCTGCTCCAGCTTTCAGGCCTGTCTTTCCAACTGTGCTGCCTGCTCCTATCCTGAAAGCTCCCATGTTGCTGCTCCTGTTGCCTTTCCTCTCCCCGCACCACCTCAAACCCCTCAAAACCTGCTTCCAACCCTCCTGATCCGGCTCCCCCTCCCCCTGTTGATGCTACTCCTCCCGCTCCTCCTGCTGCCGACGCCTCATCTTCTCTGCCCTGTCCCCTGTCTTTCCCACCAAGCCGGTCCGGACTAAGATACTTCAAAACAGCTGCAAGGTTCTCACTTTTGTGCCTCTGAAGATACTTCACCCCCTCTTTCACCCCCTCCTTTACTCTTCCTCCTCTCGCCACGTTCCCCACCTCCCCTCTGTGCTCCCACCCCCCCCTCCTCCCCCCTCTCAACCCTCTCTTGGCCTGTTCCCTGATTGAATCCACAGAGAGGGGGGAGCGCGGGAGAGTGGGGGGCGAAGTGAGGGGAAGGGAGGAGGGGAAGAAGGGGGAAGATGGGGAGGCGGGGGGATAGGGCGGAAAGGAGGGCTGGGCGGAGGGGCAAGGGCTATGTGGGACGGATGGGGCGCGCGGGAGAGGGGTGGCAGGGTGGGGCATGGGCGGGATGGAGCGCGGCGGCAGGGTGGAAGGGAGGCTGGAGGGTAGGGTGGAGGGAAGGGAAGTGCTTGGGACGGAAAAGGCAGTGGAAATGACAGCAGTGCTGGCAGTAGCATTGTTGGCAGCATTGCCGGCAGGATTGTTGGCAGCAGCGGCAACGGCAGTAGCAACAGAACCGCCCAGCCCTTCAGCACTGACAGTGGTTGAAACATCCACTCTAGGAAAACTTCTAAGAGAAGCTGATTCGTTAACAGATACAAGCTCGTTCATCCCCAAGGGTTCCAAAAAGGTAAACTCTGCAGCCGCCAGCACGCCGCTACCCCCACCACCACTCCTGCCGGCCAGCCCTCTCCCGCTGCCGTCACTGGCGCTAGCGCTGCTAATGCTGCTCCACCCAAAGCTGCTGCCGCCGCTACTGCTGCTGGTGCTCGACCTGCTGCCTCTCACGTTCGTCCTGCCGCCACCGCCGCTGCTGTTGCTGCTGCTGCCGTTGCTGCTGAGTGCGCTCCACCTGCTGCTCGCCTCGCTTGTCACCCCCACTGTGCTCCTCCCACTGCCCGTTGTGCTCCACGCTCGGCTGCTGCTGCCGATGCCTGTGCCATGCCCGAACCCAACCCCACTCCCAATGCCGCTTCCGCTGCTGCTTCTGCTGCAAGGGGCGTTTCTGGAGGCGATGCCGTTCGTGCTGCTGCTGCTGTTGTTCGTTGTGGTGCTGATGGTGCTGCAGCTGCTGGTGTTGCTGCTGCGGCGGGTGTGGCTGCTTGTGTGAGCAGTCAGTCCATCAGCAGCAGCAGCAGCACAATCAGGGGCAGCAGTAGCGCTATCAGCACAACCACTAGCATCTTCTCGGCTCATATCCCCCTGCCCAATAACACCACCACTGCCTGCACTCGCTTCCCCACCACCCCTCTCCGGTCCCCCCTTCTGGCCCTGCGTCAGTAACCTTGCTGTGCCACTGGCGCCCCCGCCTTTCGCGTGCCTGTCGCTCCTGCTGCTGCTCTCAGCCATGCTGTTCCTCGCCTTGATGCCGCTGCTGTTGGTGTTTACAACACTGTTACTATTGTTACAATTTTTATTACTGTTATTGTAGTTGCTACTATTCCAAATTCCAGTAACTGCAACACGCAGCCCATTCAAGCTCGCGCGCGGCCCTTCCCCGTGTCCGCGCCCCCGCCTGCGCGTCCTCCCCCCCTTGCTGCCCCCCACGCCCACCTTCTCCTGCCCCGCCAGCTCCACAACCAACTGAAACTTGTGCCCTTCTGGCGCGCAACGCGACACGCGGAGCGTTTGCGCAATCCCCCTTCGCAACTCATCCTGTCTTTCTTTGATCTGCGCATTTCCCCCCTTCGCTTGCTGCTTCGACTCCCCGATTCCGCCTTCGCCTGCTTCCGCTGATATTGCTGCCGCGGCAATAGTTTCCGCGGAGGCCCCCCGCGGCCCTGCCTGCGTGTACTTGGCCCAGATTCGTTCGAGGATGCCCGACTGGAATATTTCGCATTCGGGCAGCCAGGGTTCGGGGTGCGTGTTGAGGTGAAAGTACAGCTGCCACGACGCGTGCGCCTGCGCCGCCAGCGCAAGCGCATGCGCGGATCCGCACACGGCTTGCGCGGGGAGCCGAGGACGCGGCGACGAGCGGAAAAATGTCCGGAACGAAGCGCGAGCGCGAGCGCGAGGCGACGAACAGGGGCAAGATTGGGGAGAGGAATCCCCCGCGTGGCTTCGTCGATTCCTTTTATCTTCTTTTATCGAACAGAAATGATCGCGATCCTCGCGATCCTCGCGAACTTCGCGATCGGCCGAACACGAATCCGCTGCTTCGGCTTGATCGGCGGAATTATCATCCCGCACCAAAAGCCACTCCTGCAGCATTTCCAGTGTCCCTGGCAGGACCGCCGGAAGGTCTTCGATGCTTTCTAGCTTCGACGCTAACGGATCGTCTCCCGAAATGGCTATCAGCTTCCACGTCAGTCTATCGTCGATCACTAACGGAATCGCGCCGAGCGGTTTTACCGCGTATACCTGCCCAACACGCGCCGGCTGTTGCCCGATTTCTATCACCTCAATCGGGGCAGCGGATAGCGAGTCAGGACCGTTAGGCCCGTGGTCGTCTGATCTGCTTGTAGCGAGTCGTTCCATCTCGAACCGCTCGAGCAAAGAGAGCTCCAGATCTTGCTGCTTCTGCCAACCGAGCCGCGAGTCAGGTAAATCACACGACCAATCATCCGCTGCTGCCACGTCATCTTCCACGCTCTCTACGAGTCTTCCTTTCGCCTTCCCCAAACCGGTACCGCCTCTGAAACCCCACCCGCTCTTTCCCGAGCGCTTTCCGTCCCCTCCTCCGGCTGTGGATTGCCGCTGCTTGTTGCAGCTTGTTCGATCACCGCTTCTCTGCCCTCCTACTCCACTTCCTCCTCCGTCGCCGGCGCCGCCGGAACCGCCGCCGTCGCCGCTAGGATCGCGGGATGCTGAGGTTCCGGGAGCAGGGGGGCGTCCGGCGGAACGATTGACGGGAGCGGGGCAGGGGGAAGCGGAAGCAGAAGCGGAAGCGGAAGCGGAGGCGGAGCGGGTGTCGGAGGGTGGCGCGCGGAACAGTGTGGACTCGTCGACTGTCTGCGGCAGCACACCGTGGTTCCACAGCACGTTCCCCGCGTAATGCGCTGGTACTTGTGCTACCGCCTCGCATGCCGCGCGCTTACGCGCGGCCCGTGCTACAGAGGCGGTCGGACTGTCGGAGTGCCGCGCCGCGGCGAGTTCGTCGTCACCGTCAAGTTCGCCATCGGGTTTTTTTCCGTCGCCGTTGTCGCATGCGATGTCGTTACTACCCTGTAGCAGCTGCACCTGCATCTGCGACGCCGCGAATCGCAAAGGCGTGTAGTCCTCCTCGCGCGCGATCTCCATCTTCGCCCACGTCGCCACGGGCGTCGTGCACACGAAATGCACCAGCGTGTCGCACGCCGCGTACAGCGGAATGTGGTGCCACGGCGACAGCAGCCTCCCCGCACCGTCCGCGAACATCATCCGGTAACCCAGACTCCCCGCTTCCCCGAACTGCGCCGTGCGCACGCCCCCCCATGTTGCGTCCGGCGTGCGCGGGCGCTGCAGCACGAATGGGCGCGTGGTGCGCGGAGGCGGAGGGGGAAGAGTGGGCACGGGGGGAGGGGACGACGGGCGGGATACAGGATGCGCGGGCGGGTGAGGGGAGGGGAGACCCGCCGCGGGCTGGCAAGAAAGGATAGCGGGCGGCATGATGGGCAAGCCTCGGCGTGACTCTGACTGGGCCGATGGGTAGATGGATCCCACAGAAGCCAGTTGGAGCTTCGGGAACGGCTACGTCAAAGGGACAGTATCGAGGTGCGGAGAACGGCTTGGATCGGTGGCACCGCCTCGCATCCTAGTGCGAACTTCACCTTCCCAATGACGTCTCGAGTGCATTTTCAACTTTCGTCAGTCGAGCGCAGCGCACTACCCTGGTCTACGATATTAGCAGAACTACCCTGTTCTATGCCGGCCTCATGTGCCTTGCCGTTCTATGTAGCAGTGCTCGTTGCCGCTGGCAGAGGAGGTAGGGTGGGACAATCAATCACGGGAATGAATCGGGAACGACGCACGCGAGACGCGGAGCGAAGGCGTGTGACCACATACGAGAGAAGAGAGGAGATCTTAGTTTCGTACGGTCCGCTCATGTGAGGCAGCTACTGTACAGTGATGTGATGCGAACTTCATCCAAACTCAGGTTCTGGCCGCTTCAAGGTCTTGAAAAAACGAGATGCATGCTACAAGCCGCATCTCGATCACCCCCTAAAGTTGGGACAGAATCCGTTTGGGGTAGTGCGACTCGGGACTGGGGGGTTGGGGGGACGCAGACTTCCAATGGCATAGCGGAATAGCAAAAGCTGATGCAAAGAAGGTGGTGGACCTAGACGCCACCACCAGCCTTCGAGAAATTCACCAAGCCACTTGGTTTCGGAATTCTTATGGTCTCGTCTGTCCGAAAATGAATGACAGACTCCAAAAAAAGTCAAACTAGCCACAGTGCCCAAACAATATTCGAGTGGTTCTTGTTGTAGTGTTCTTTAGGGTGAGGTTTTTTTTGGCTTGTGCGACTCCGTCGTAACCCCGGGTCATTTAGGGTGAGGTGCGAATCTAGCAAAATACTATGCAGTAGATAGCTATAGTAAATTTATGTTTACGTTGGTGCAGATTAAGGTGACACGTTTTGGCTCATTACTACATTAGTTATTAGCCTATTTTATACAGCATTCACTGTATAAGTAATAGTGTTCTACAGTGTACAAGTTCGAATACATATATACAAATATTTCTCATATTCTATTTTTAATTTATCATAAATTATCGTTTTTTTTTATATATATATATATGTGTGTTACATAAAGTTTGGATATCCTTTTACGGTCTATAAACAATAAAATTATTTGTTGTGATGTCACTTAGTTGGTCTAATACTATTTAAAATTTTAGGAATTTAAGTGTATTGTAGCAAATACAGTTGAAAGTTTCATTGAATTTGGTAAATTTTAGTACATTTAAAAATCTATATTATATATGATTTAATATTATCAATCTGCTTGAGCGTTTATTATTTGTAGTATAGCATTCAAATAATATTTATCAAACTGAACTATACCTACATATTTTGTTCATGTATATATACAGGATCATATTATATTCATTAAATAATTAAGAAGTTGTAACATTACGTTTTCCCATCATTTTAAACACGAATAAGTGAGCCAAATTCCCCTACTTCTTTCTGGCCCAAGTTGCCGATATAAATAATTACAAAATACAAGGGTCCACAAAGGGAAACTACAAGCAAAACATACTAGCAGAAAAGGTAGACAGGAAGAGAAAACGGAGAAATAGAAGAAAGAGAAAGGAAATGGGAAAGGAAAGGAATAAGGAAAGGAATAGTGAAAGTTGCCCCCAGTTGATGCACCGAATGAAGAGCAAAATGTCAAAAGGGGAAGGGGAGTGAAAGGGGTATCATGTGTAATTGCGATGATATTTGCTCTTGATCAAATTGCAGAGTTTTGCTGATTTGAGGTTGAGCAGCTCAATCTGCAACACCTCCAAAAGCAGTTGCTCCACACCACAGCCGTCCATCCAGAGAACCTACTCAACATGGACCTAGGATGTTTGCTACACCTAGTCCGCGGTATTTTAACCACGTGAACTTTTTTGTTTAAAACATCCTGTGTGCATTTTTGTCCAATGGGATGGGCACCCAGAGACTTCGGGGCTATTAGAATACAACCTGGACACTTTTGTTTTGGAAAACCCACACTTAGTTCTCCGATATAGGGGGCGCTTTGGCATCATCAGAGTTGCAACTGACGTGACCTCGCGAAGGGGACGCGTGACACTACCCTCATAAATTGGTTCAACTACCCTTGTATTCAATCTTGACCACGGAGTAGTACCCCCGCGTTGTTAAGATACCGGCAATTAAAATACCGCGGACTAGGTGTACTGGACAGATAACGGACGGCTGGTGCTGCTGCTGGGAGGGAGCTCCACAACGGGCACTGGTTGGGCAGACGAGAAGCAAGACGGACCATTCAAACGAACGAGACGCGACAACGCAGAACCACGTCGAAGCCAGGAGGAACAAGTGGTAAAGTACAACAGCGAACAGTAAATGACAATAATGACCTCAATGGCTAATCTTGGAATTACCGTTAGCATGCTTTGTCCACAGTGCACGCCATATGACCGCGTTGTCGTTTTCTTCCATGACAGCTGGTTCACAATGATTTGCGTGGCGCAAGGGGTGGGTGGGAGGGAATGAGGTGATTCTGAGGCGGAATTGATTCGTCAGAACGACATCCACTTTTGTCATCATCCTGACAGTGGCTCAAGTCATGTTTTTATATATGAAACGATATTACAAAATGAAAAAAGGATTGCATTATTGGGGCAAAAAAATATGTTGGAATAACCAAGGGTTAATAAACATTCCCAAAGGTTCTGCCTTAGCACATCGGTTCATGACGAACCAGCGCAATGTACCAGTATCGCGTTAGCTCGTATAAGAGCACGCAAGTGAAGGTCAACGACGCGGTAGGTCAACAGACGTTGTAAGTCAACGGACGAGACTGTTAACCATCCCTCAATTGTAGTCGGAGGTTGCGCACTGCAACGTGGTAACCGTGAAGCATCGCAATACACTGTTGTCAGAATAGTAGCTTGAGTAGGAGGTATGTTGAAGTAGGGCCTAGGCTTAGTAGCCTAGGCTTAGTAGCCTAGGCTTAGTAGCCTAGGCTTAGAAACAACAGTACATATAGGCAAGAGCTAGGGGTACACCACCAACAGAGTATGAACCTACACTACAGTTAATGCAAAGGACAGTTTATATAAAATATGTTTTCAACACACCCCCTAAACTGTTCGCAGCAATATCCAGTGCAGTCAACACCCCTTGAAGGGCTACACCCAAGGCAGAGCGCAGCGGAAGAAGCAGACGGCAAGTGAGGAGGAGGCGGGACCATGAGAGGAGAGGAGGTGGTGGGCGGCGGCTGAAGCTGCTGGCATCACAGCGGCCACCCCCCTTCAACCTCCCCCCCCTCCCCAAACCTCCCCGCGCAGCGGCAGTCACGGTAGGGCAGACAGGGCAGGCAATGCAGGCAAGGCAGACAGAGTAGGCACGGCAGGCAAGGGTGGCTCAAGGCAGGGGCGGCTCAGGCGAGGGGCGGTAGGGAGAGAGAGGAGGCGGGCTGGCGCAATCTGGTCACCCTCGCCACCCCCTCACCCTCACACCCTACCGTCAGGCGCAAGCAACCCTACCGCCACTCCCACGTCCCCCTCACACCCTCCCCCCCCCCCCCCCCTCAACTGCTGCATGCGCAGCAGGGAGAGGGAGGAGAAGGGGGACGAGGTAGGAGTTGCGCGTGCGGCTGCAGGTGCGTGTGCGCGTGCGCAGCTGTGCGCGACTGTGCACGTGAGGCAGCAGCGCGCGGGGCAGCAGCGTGCAAGGCAGAGGTGCGCGAGGCGCCGAGCAGAGGCGCACGAGGCGCCGGGCAGAAGCGCACGAGGCGCCGGGCAGAGGAGCACGAGGCGCCGGGCAGAGGCGCACAAGGCGCCAGGCAGAGGCGCACAAGGCGCCGGGCAGAGGAGCACGAGGCGCCGGGCAGAGGCGCACGGGGCGCGGGGCAGTGGCGGACAGCAAGGTACGGGAGGCACAAGGCAGGGGATGAGAGGAGGAGGAGGCGGCTGATGCTGCAGCTGGACTCACCCAACCCCTCAACATCCCCCCCACAGCAGCAGACGCGGGAGTGGGCGAGAGGAGGAGGAGGCGGATGGTGATGCTACAGAGGCTCACGGTGGCCACCCCCTCCACGCCACCTCCCCCCCTCCCTGCTACCTCCATTCCCGCCGCCGCCCCCACCACCGTCCGCCACCTTCCCCTCACAGCGGCCGCCCCTGGCAGGGCGCGGCAGAAATGCGGATGGGGAGCGGGCTGGAGTGGGCGGGGACACTGGTGGCCGGCCCTGGCGCTGGAGTTGGGCGCTGGCGTCCGCGCTGGCGCTCGGCGCTGGCGAGCTCGCCACGGGCAGAGCACGACGGGCGGGCGTAGGGCAGAGCGCAACGGGTGGGCCAAGGCAGAACGCAATGGGCGGGCGTAGGGCACAGCGCAACGGGCGGGCACGGGAGGGGCACGGGTAGAATCTAACGGTGGGCCCATTATGATTTAGGTCTATGAGCGTTTCTGCTTTGATACCATGTCAGAATAGTAGCTTGAGTAGGAGGTATGTTGAAGTAGGGCCTAGGCTTAGTAGCCTAGGCCAAGGGGGGTATCGAGGGAGTTGTGCCAAAGAGAGGGGGCTTGCACTATAGAAACAACAGTACATATAGGCAAGAGCTAGGGGTGCACCACTAACAAAGTATGAACCTACAATATAGTTAATGCAAATGACAGTTTATATAAAATATGTTTTCAACAACTATAACTGTAGCGATGCCTGCAAAACAGTTACTAAGGGAATGTACCCCCCTATGAGCACATGGATAGCTAGGGGAATGCTATATAAACCACATGCAATGTTATCTTTATCATCTTGTTTTCCTTTTACTTCATTATAAACAAGGTCATTCAAGAATTCCGCTGTCTTAACTCCCCTTGGCAAGGTCAAATTATATTGCATATATAGCTGTAGGCTGTAGTGGGGTTGCCCTTGCAGAGTACAACCCATTTAGGGTTTCATACATGTTTCCTTGTACTCTTGCTT